GTGTGTGTGTGTCCACCTGGGGTGTGTGTGTCCACCTGGGGGGTGTGTGTGTGTCCACCTGGGGGGTGTGTGTGTGTTCACCTGGGGGGTGTGCGTATGTGTCTCCACCTGGGGTGGGTATGTCCACCTGGGGTGTGTGTGTGTCCACCTGGGGGGTGTGTGTATGTCCACCTGGGGTGTGTGTGTGTGTGTGTCCACCTGGGGTGTGTGTGTCCACCTGGGGGGTGTGTGTCCACGTGGGGTGTGTGTCTCCACCTGAGGTGTGTGTGTGTGTGTCCACCTGGGGCCTCCTCCCATGCAGGGGGCCCTCCCTGTCCCTTCCTGCGGTCATACTCCCTGCCCCCGAGACACCACTCCTCCTCTGCACCCTGGACATAGGTCCTGTGGCAGGTGGTTTTGGTGTCCCTGTACCTTGGGCAAGTTATTTAGTGTCCTTTGTTTCGTCTTCTGTAAAATGAGCATAACAGCCCCTTCTTCATAGGACAGTCGTGAAGATTACATTACCTAACACTTTAAAGTTTGGAGGAGACCTAGCACGTGTGATGATAACATTGAGCACGTGCTGTCTTTAGGTGACTGTGAATCTGTTCTTCCTCAACACGTTCTGTCTGTGCCGTGGCTCAGCCCTTGGCATCTCCCACTGGGCTCGTGGCTGTGCCATCTGTATTCGAGTGTTGGGGATGGTCAGGTGGGAAAAGGGATTTAGGTCCCTAATGCATAGTGAGAAAGACAGGAGCAAGCAGATAACCGCACGGTGGATGAAAGCTCATCCCCACCCTTGTTTGGAGAGAGAGACCTGAGCATAGGGAAGATCTAACTCCAGGAGGTCAGGGAAGGCATCCCAAATGAGGTGATGACTTGGCTGAGGTCTGAACAGAGAGAGCGCCGCAGTCAAAGGAAGCTGCACGTGCAAGTCCCTGTGCAGGTGATACGGAGGAAGGGCTGGAAGGAGCCCCGGTGGCTGGAGTGAGGGCATTCCACAGGGCCACTGCCTAGGCCTTGTTTGTAATAGCAGTGGGGATGTTTGGAAAGTTTTGGGGAGAGGGCAGGGACATAATCCTATTTCCAAGTTGAAAATCTCTGTCTTTGCAGTGAGCACTGTGGATTGGACAGCTGTTAGGTGAGGGCCCCAGAATGATCCAAGTGAGTGGTGGGCTGTGCTGGGGGTGGAGTTTCAAAGGAGAGATTTTGAGAGGTGTTCATGAACCCACACATAAGTGGGCTCCGTTGTGGTGGAGGGGAGGAGGGAAGGCTGACTCCCGGGTCTCCCGCTCTGCCACTGCGCAGGTGGCAGGCACGTGCTGTCGAAGAGCTGGTCCAGGCACAGGTCAGTAGTGTGGGGCTGGCTGTGCTGAATTGGAGCTGCCTTGCGGACAGGAGGAGAGGACGAGGAGGCAGCTGGCTCTGAGAAGGTTCACTCTTCAGAGCCACTGAAAGTGGGATGTCGAAAACTGTTTGTGGGAGGGGACGTCCACCTGGCCCTGGGCCTCTGCTGACCTCTCTGAAGATGGACAGAGAGGACACAGAGTCCTCAGAAAAGTCCAGACACCAGGTCTCCTTTGGACCTGGGTTCAAATCCTGCCTCTATAGCTCTGTGACCTTGAGCAAGTCACCAACCTCCAAGCGTAACTGCCTTGCTGCTTGTCTGCTGCTTATCTGGTTTGCTTGGAGGATGGTGATAGCTGTTAAATGAGTCAGTGGGTCTAAGTGTCACTAAACGGTGGCTGTCACTGGGTCATTAATTGCGTAAGAATTTAGAAGCAGACGTTTATCCAGATACTGCGCTAGAGGGGCACACTCCAGCCAGGATGCCCCTGTTTGCCCTCCAGGATCCCTGTTTAGAGTGGGTGGTCACTGGCCTGCTTCATGGGCCTCCCTGCCTCTTTCTGTCCTCAGGCAGGTGGCCTAGGATCCTTCCCGGTGTAAGAGAAAGGAGGGGTTGTCTGAGTGCGTTACCTGCTCTGCCCTGGCTCCTCTGTGGGGTCAGAGCAAGTGGGCATCCCCAGAAGCATCTATGGAGCGTCTTCTGTGTACCCGCCGCAGCTCTGCCTCCTAAAATATCTGTAAGCCCCTGTCTTCATAGCCCAATAGAATAAACAGCGAAAGCAGAAAGTTTAGCTGCAAGGATGTCAAAAGAAAAGAATGTTCCGATTAACTCAACTTCTTTTTCAACTGGGAGCTTTCCTAACATCACTTAACTCTTCTTGTTGAAAATAAAGTATGCCAAGTGTTGGGCCGCATGAGCATCTCAACTGCGGCCACTCTGGAGTGGCCAGGCCACCTCCCCATCCGTCATCCCATTGGGTCACAGCAGCCCCAGAGCTGGCAGGGGACTCGTTTTATGCTGATGTCATTGATGATGACCCCGAGCCTGTGACAGGTAAAACAACTTGCCCCAAGTCATGCAGCTGACTTATGGCCCCAGCGCAGGGTAGCCAGTGTTCAGCCCCCACTTCACCCCACTGCAGGTCACTGTTCCAGTCCAGGTCTCCGTCCCTCTACCCAGAGTCCCTTCATCCCAGGCTGCTGGCTGTCTCCTCCCCTCTGTGGCCTAAGACTCCCCTCATCCCATGGAAGAGGGCGGTGAGGAGAGAAAACCCTGGAAGCCCCTTTCAGCCCAACGGTCCTGGATGTCCTCTGTCCTCTCCATGCCTTGGAGAGGTGCTTCTCCTGGCGGCCTGGCCGGAAGGAGCCTCCCCAGGGATCCCTAGGTCTCCTCAGGGTTGTGGCCAAGCGTGGGGCTGGGCCGGGCATGGTTGCCCCGGGGACTCAGCGTGGATCCCAGGGCGTTCGGCTTGTTCTGTAGGTGGGTGTGGGCTCTGCCTTCATGCAGCCTTCTTGGGGACTGGTGAGTATGGAGTGGGGTTGCTCAGAGGCTCATAGGCCCTCACCCCCTGCCCTTGGTGCTCCTGCAGCTGTGGAGACAAGGAACTACCACGTGCATGTTTCAGAGTGGCCCTAAGGTCAGTGGTCAAAGCCGTCAGGAAAGCTTCGGGGGTACCAAGAGGCTGTGTGGACTGTGAGCAGGAGGCCCACGGAGCCAGACCCTGCAGTCAGGGCAGCCTGCCTGGAGGAGGGGGCAGCCAGGCGGGGTCTCAGCAGGTCTGAGCAGGCAGAAGGGAGGAAAGCAATTATCATAAGCCCAGGAACAGCCAAGCACTGACATGGGTGTGCTTGAGCAACCCCCAGTATCATTTACGGGCAACACTACCAGCCCACGGGGAACCCGGAGGCCTGAAAAGGACGAGTGGGCCGTGGCCAGCGGGACATGAGAAGGGGCTGCTCCATGCAGGTGTCCAGAAAGTCAAGGACAGGCCCAAGCATTTACTGTGCCCTGCCGTGGGCCAGGTGCTCCTCACGCATCACCTAATTTACAGCTCACGCCAGCCCTGGTGGTCAGCCCTATTAGAGCCCTTTAAAAGGAGGAGACTGGCTCTGGGAGGGTCTGGACAGGGCGGGAAGCTTGGCTTATGGAGAGTCATCCTCAAGCTGGTTCTTGAGTGAGGAGGCCACAGTGATGGTGGGGCTAGCAATGTGCTCATCCCTATCGCCTGGGCAAGGTTCTCTCTGTCCAGGAAGTGTCAGCCTAACAGAGCCCCCAACCCCCCACCCCCACCTCCTTGTCTGCTCTCTGTTGCAGCCCAGCCTTCGCCTTCCCCCACCCCATCCACCCCGTGGCCTACCAGCAGATTCTGAGCCAGCAGAGGGGTCTGGAGTCAGCCTTTGGGCAGTGTTGTCAGACCATTTCTAGGCCACCGTTGGTGCAGGGCAGAGACCTAGAATCCTGATGGGGGCACCGTGAGGGGGAGCAGTCTGGAACCACGGTGGAAGAGCCTGTAGCCCTGGGGTGCTGGGTACTCTTGTCTGGGGCAAGCCCTCTTCCCTTCCGCAGTTATGTAGGTGTGTGACAGCAGCTGGTGAGGGCTGAGGACACAGCCATGTGCCCACACACATGTGCATACGCATGTGTACACATGTCTGCATGTGGGTGCAACAGGTGTGTGCATGCAAGGGCGGTGTGTGCACCCGCGTGCATGTGTGCCTGCATGCATGTGGCGTGCACATTCAAAGCAACAGCTTCCCAGAGCCTCAGGCAACTTTAGAACTGAGGACCTCAGTGTGCAAGAGCACCTGCCTGTGTCAGGATGCCTCTCTCTGCGCTGTCCTCGTGTCTGCCCTGCCCTGTTACAGCAGGCTGCCCAGCAGGCTCTGGATAGACAGCCAAAGGCCCAGGCGTCGAGAAGAGTCTGGGAGCCGCCATCCAGGCCTCTGCTTGGCAAATGCCCTATCAGGGGGCATTTTAGTGGTGATTTCAGGTACAACATGACCCATGACCTTGGAGCACTTACTTCCATTCACTCTCTTCCCCAAGGAATTCTCCACAGCAGTGAGAACAGGCAAGCTTCTCCCACACACAGTAGCATGGAGAAATGTTACGAACTGACCAAGTGGATGAAGGAGGCCAGACATAAAAGAGTATTTAAAATTCCATTTACACAAAGCTCAAAAGTAGGTAACACTAGCTGTGTGTTAGAAGCCAGGATAGCAGCTGCCGTTGGGCTGGAAGGTGCAGGGGGCCTGTGGGCACTGGCCAAGCCCTGTTTCTTGACCTGGGGCTGGCTTCCCAGGTGGACTCACTTGGTGAGAGGCCACCGAACTGCTCGCTTACGATTCGTGCACACTCCTGTCATGAGGTAAGCATTGCTGGATTCCAGCCCTGGTCTCTGCACCTATGCTCATTGCTCATATTCACTCGCCCAGACACCTTACATGCACTTCTCCAGTCATCACCACACCCTGCGCTGCTCAGTCCATTTTACAGATCAACAAACTGAGGCCAAGAGGTGACATCCTTTGCCCAAGAGCCCACAGCTGGAAAGTCGGCTTAGCTGGGATACCCATTAGACCATCCTCGCAGGCTCTTCCTGTCCCCCACCTACCTGTCACCCCGCCCCCCATCCCCAGGGATGCTGACGTGTCTTGTGTTGACTGTCCCACAGTGTCCCGTTTCTCCAGCCCGCGGGTAACGCCCCGCCTGAGCCGCAAGCGGGCGCTGTCCATCTCCCCACTCTCAGACGCCAGCCTGGACCTGCAGCGGATGATCCGCACCTCCCCCAATTCGCTGGTGGCCTACATCAACAACTCCCGAAGCAGCTCGGCGGCCAGCGGCTCCTACGGGCACCTGTCGGCAGGCGCCCTCAGGTGAGCCCCGCCTGCAAGCAGAGGGCTGAGAACCAGAGCTGGGCTGAGGGCCCGGTGGGGAGGCGCTGGCTTTTCAGTGGGTGCTTTTGACCCCAGGAGAAAGACAGGATTAGTGGCATTTGTGAATCCACATATACTCGCACCTTTTTTATGAATTCAAAACCAATAGTGATCAGATTGAAATGAGCCAATATCTGAGTACATCTTCATGGACCAGGCCTGTCATGAATGACTCAAATGTGAAATCAAAGGTGTTTGAGGTCGAAGATGATTTTCCTAGTATTTCACTGAATTTGGTGGAGCAGCCAAGTATTGGCCAACCTTGGAGACCACACAAAATGTGATGTTGGCATAGCCCGGGCTCTCAGCAAGCCTCTGAGCTGCCTGCAGGTCTCCTCCCTCTATAGCCGCATCGCGGCACACCCACACCTCACTGACACCAGCCACCCTTCTCCCCTCTGTGTGACTCTAGACTCTCTGAGGACTGAGACCCCAGCCGGCTTGACTGAAACTCACATGCCTCCCCAAAGCCTCTGGGAGAGGCCAGGAGGTGTGAGGAATGTCAGGAGAGTTTGTCCCAGCGACCTGGAGACGGAAGGAATAACAAGTGTATTTGTTATCTTTTCTTTTTTTTGAGACAGAGTCTCGCTCTGTCACCCAGGCTGGAGTGCAGTGGCCGGATCTCGGCTCACTGCCAGCTCCGCCTCCTGGGTTCCCGCCATTCTCCTGCCTCAGCCTCCCGAGTAGCTGGGACTACAGGCGCCCGCCACCTTGCCCGGCTAGTTTTTTGTGTTTTTTAGTAGAGACGGGGTTTCACCGTGTTAGCCAGGATGGTCTCGATCTTCTGACCTCATGATCCGCCCGCCTCGGCCTCCCAAAGTGTTGGGATTACAGGCTTGAGCCACCGCACCCAGCCTCTTATCTTTTGCTGCCTAATGAATTGCTCCAACACGTAGCAGTTTAAAACTACAAACAATTGTTATCTCACCTCATTTCTGAGGGTCAGGAATTTGAGACAGGCTGAGCTCCGGCTCTCTCAGGTGGCCACAGTCAAGCTGTCAGCCAGTGCTTCATCCCGCTGAAGGTGTGGCTGGGCCAGAATGGCCCCCGCACAGAGCTCTCAGCAGTACCCTTTGTCCCTCGTCTGTGAGCCTCTGCTTAGGGCTGCTTGAGTGTCCTCACGACATGGCAGACGGGTCCCAGCCCACCTTGCAGCATGTGATGCGAGAGGAAGCTGGAGGAAGCCACAGTGTCTTTTATGGCTCAATCACAGGGGTCACCAGTCTCTCCTCGGTATCCTACAGTGTGAAGGGTGGCTCTTACGCACGTGGTGTGACAGAGCCTAGAAGTGCAGTAAGAAGAGGAGAATAATGCAAGCTGGAGGGCTCAGGGCATGATTCCCGGATGAGGGGCCATTAGAACAGGATTCAGAGGCCTCCTGGGTTTCACGTGGTCAGGGAGCAGTGATGCCGGCATGCATTTAGGTGTCATTACAGCAGTGGAGGGGCCGGGGTGTGGGATGAGACGGAGCCTGGTCCCTGCTGGGGCCAGCCTGCCAAGGGTGGAGGCTACATCCTGGGGCAGAACCCGGGAGCTGATCACAAAAGGTGAGTGGCAGACAGTAGGAAGCCACAGCTGGTTCCTGAGTGAGGAGGCCACAGTGATGGTGGGGCTAGCAATGTGCTCATCCCTATCCCCTGCGCAAGGTTCTCTCTGTCCAGGAAGTGTCAGCCTAACAGAGCCCCCAACCCCGACCCCCCACCTCCTTGTCTGCTCTCTGTTGTAGCCCAGCCTTCACTTTCCCCCACCCCATCAACCCCGTGGCCTACCAGCAGATTCTGAGCCAGCAGAGGGGTCTGGGGTCAGCCTTTGGACACACACCACCCCTGATCCAGCCCTCACCCACCTTCCTGGCCCAGCAGCCCATGGCCCTCACCTCCGTCAATGCCACGCCCACCCAGCTCAGCAGCAGCAGCAACTGTCTGAGTGACACCAACCAGGTAGGTGGGTGCAGGGACCAGGATGGCCACTGGGTACTCATCTGGACGTATGAGGGCTGTTCACTGCCAGTTCGTGCTAAGAACTTGTGGAGGCCTCTGGGCTCACGTCTGGCCTCTGGGGTGCCTTCTGAGCAGAGGCCACATTATGGAAAGGGCGAGACCTAGGCTCAGTCCATGGGAAGCTCCCAGCTTCTCAATTCTGCTGTCTCCCGTCCAAGAAGCATAATGAGTAGATGGGGAAAGCCTCGAGTTCCCAGGGCCTGGCACCGTGGAGGTCCTCCGTGCCCAGCACATGGCATGGGTGGGTGAGTGAATCATTATAACACTGCAGTTTCACTGTAGAGCGTGCATTTACAGCAGGCTTTCACACACTGCCTCGTTCGACCCTTCCAACGGGCCTTGAGCGTGCCTGGACATCCTAGTACGGTGCCTGGCACATCCTAGGTACCGTTATTATTTGGCAAATGAAGTGTTCTTTCACAGATAAGGACATGGAAAGGCACAGGCCTTAGCATCAGTCAGACCATCTTTGGGATCCTAACTCGCCTAAAAGCAGCAAATCTCTTTCCCTCTCGCAGCCTGAGCTAACTTATCTGCTAAGTGGGGTTCCTGACGCCTAGGTGGGGTCACTGTGTATGTAAACGAGCTCGTGGGTGCAGAGCCCGCGTAGGCTCTGATCCTGGGAGCACGGACAACGATGATGCCAGAGGTGAAGGGACCACCCCAGGCCACCCACCAGCAAATGGCAGAGCCTGGATGTGGCTGCACCCTTGGAAGGAAGGCAGGACACCATGTCCTCTAGAAGCGTCCTCTGTTCCAGAATGTCCTCCCTCTCCACCCCAGGGCTCCTAGTGGCTCCCCAGAGCCTCCCCATGACAGTGGCTGTCAGCTCTGGAAACATCGCCTGATGCTTCAGCTCTAGCCCCTTCTCCTGAGGAACCAGGCTCTGGCCCGCTGTGTCCTGGGCTGGCCAGGCCCTGTTCTCAGACCCACAGTGAGAAGTTGAGCCTGGTCAGAACAGGGGCAAGGACACCCCCAGTTTTCCAAAGAGAAGGTCTCTTTCTCATTTCCCAGAAATCTTGGGGAGGCGGAGATGGAGAGATGGGGGTGGGCATGCCCAGGTCTGGGTGCCCTCCTGTAGCAGGACATGTGTCCCTGACAGGAGGACTGAGCTGGGGACTCTCTTTCTGATACTTAAACACAGGGTTAGCCCAGATGGTCTGTGCGGAGAGATTCTAGAGGTAAAGTCCAAAGGAATTTGGGATATCCTGCCCTGCCCCTGAGTAACAGTCTGTCCTCTGCACCCGTCCTCAGAACAAGCAGAGCAGTGAGTCAGCCGTCAGCAGCACCGTCAACCCTGTCGCCATTCACAAGCGCAGCAAGGTCAAGACCGAGCCTGAGGGCCTGCGGCCGGCCTCCCCTCTGGCGCTGACGCAGGTAACCTGCTGCCAGCCGCACCACCTTCCTCCAGCTAGGACCAGGCCTGTGGGCTGCCTTGGGGCTATACCCTTGGTGAACGGATGGCTGGCTGCCTGCATGGATGAATGAGTGACCCAGGGAGGACTGGGTGGGAATGCTGAGCTGTGACTCTCTCACCACTGTGTTCCCAGCACCCTGGACATACGTTCCCATCACACATGGTGAATGAATGCATGAGCGAATGAATGGGCTTCTGCCTAGCCATCCCTCTTGTCTCAGGCTGCATCTGTCTCTGTCCCCGCACCTGACCTGGGCACAGCACCAGCCACAGCCTGGCTGAGTTGCTCACGTGCCCGGAATGGCTCAGGCCCCTCTAGGCTACTCTCACTCTTGGAACTCTACCCCACCCTGGCTCCTTGGCTGCCACTTTAGCCCTCCCTGATTCTCTTGGGTTAAGAGGACTTAGCTCCAGGCCCCCACACCCAGCCTAGCTCAGCGGTCACTTCAGGGCATGTGCTGTGTGCACACCTGTCTCCCTGTCTGCACTCTAAGCTTTGGAGAGGTGGCACTGTGCGAGAAGGGCCTGACTGGGTTCCGTGCCACCAGGGTTTGTGCAAGTGTGCAGTCACTGACATAGTATTTTCCAGTGATTCAATGCACATTTGAGTCAGTGAGTGGCGTGGTGAGTGGGGAAGATAGGACAAGTTCAAGCGGGGAGAGAAGAGCAGAGCAGCCCACAGCCCAGTGCAGGCCTGTCGTGTGGCCCCGACCCTGCGCTGATCCTTTTGAAAACCTTGCCACTTAATCTTCTGCTCCAAAACAGCGTGCAGGCAGCCCCCACTCCCGGACAGGGGCCTGTCTTGTAAAGGGCATGCCGTGCCTGTTGACCTGGTAAGTAAGCGCCTGGTCCCCCAAGCCCTCTCACGGTGGCCCAGTCTTCATCCATTATTACTACAGAAGCCGCAGCTTGGACACCAAGGATGCTCGGGGCCTCCTATCCTCATCTCTCCTGCATCTGCCGACCATCCTTTATCAAAACTGTGAACCATCAGGCATGCTCTGGGCACTTAATTTTCATGAAATATTGGCTCCTGTTATTGTCAGGCAAAGAGAGGGGTTGGTGACAAATTCTTCTCCCCTTGCTGACACCAAAGCCGGTCTCAGCATGATGCATGGTTTCCATGAGGCCGAGCATCATCGGGGGCCGATGAAATTGATGAGGACGGCACATATCCAGGGAAGACAAACATGCCAGAATGGTGAGGACAGGGCCGGCAGGCAGGCACTGAGCACCTGGGAGCCCCATGGCCACACGCCAGTAGGGCCCTATGCCCGCCCTCCAACCCAGGTGGGCCACACAGGGCCTCCTGCCTGTCCAGCCTGGCTCTGCACACGTGTCAGTGCAAGGAAGGCTGTTTATCATGAGGAGGTTGTCCCCTGTCACTCAGTGTCCTGATTCACTGACCAAGTACTCCCTGACTCATTTGTAAGGTGGGATGGCTGGGCTTTCTCTCTATTGGCAGAAAAAGCAGCATAATGAACCCTCTCTACTGAAGCCCTCAAAACTGCAGGCTAGAGTGATGCCCAGTGCACCTGCCTCTGTGCTACCCTCTGATTGGAGTGTGATCCGTCAGCTTTCCAAATCTTCTCTGGAGTGACCAGGGCACGCAGCCGGTAGAAATAATAAATTGACTTCCAGGTTTTCTCAAAGAGTGGAGAGGGTGATAAGAGGCTCTCCGGTCCACTCTCCCCATGGTCTCACTCCGACACTCCCCAGACGATCCCGTTGCTAAAGATCTGGAAAGTAAATGCTCCCACACCTTCCTTTGATTTGGTCCCAGTATAGCCCCTGGAGCTATTGTACGACATGTTGTCGCTTTTCCTGTTCGGAACAAGTGAATTCATTGAAAGATCCTCTGAGAAACAACCAGGAGCCCTTCTTAGAAGAGGTCTTTGCAGCTCTTATGGAAAGTCAGGTAGGGTTTGAGTCTCCAGTGACAGCAGGGCGTCCTGAGGCTAATTTCTGCCACTCCCAGAAAGGAACTCAGCGCTAGGACTGAGATCATGACCTGGGCAGCTGTGGCACCACTCACGGAGTCCCTGGAGCCAGTGGGCATTAGGCCTTTTGACTATGGGGCGAGATCCTTCATCCCCCTGAGCCTGACTATACGTGTTTTCCCCAGAGGCTATTTTGAAAGACATTTTCCTGCTGTTTTTGGAGAGAGTTTGAAATGTGAAGCCAGTCTTGATAGCATCTGCCTCTTGGCTTGGCTTTGCTCCCAGCCTGCCTAGCAGAACAGTGGAATACTGGGGAATCCTTGACAGCCCTTGTAGGCCCTCTGCGGACTTTCCGTCACTACTTGGGGTATCTGAGCCTCTCCCTGTGCCCCAATCCCAGGCAGGTACCTCCTGCCTGTCCTCATGTCCTCTGCTCAGAGGGTGCCCCTGGTTAGCATCAGTGAAGGTAGGGATGGTCTTGTGGGTTAATTCTCAGTCTGTTGCCAGTTTGAGAGAAAAAGACTTTGTCCTTTTTGACAGGAATTTCAGGTACCTGTGATCAGGTGAGGGAATTTCAGGCATTATGATCAGGGGAAAGAATGTCTCGGGGGACTTTCCTTCACCTCATTAAAATGGCCACATGGGCCCTAATGTGGTCAGGAAACTCAAGTCCAGACCTAGGCTGCCTCGAGCTCACTGTGTATTCATGAGGAGGGCCTCAGATCCCCCCTATCGTACAAGAATGCAGATGCCCACGCGTTAGGGCTGTGGCAGTGAAAACTGGTTCCCCACAGCGGAAATCAAACCAAATAGACAAAAGTCCCTGCCCCGCCGTTCTCCGGTTCTCCTGGCTTGGAGGAGACCCAGGGTGTGACAGAACACCTTGATGATGACAAGTGGGCACTGGAGAGAAAGGAGGAGGGGCCCCAGGACAGGCCATCTGACAAGGAGAGCTGTGGACGGGGCTGAGTTGAGGAAAGGAGCTAAAAAGGCTGATGAGTGTGTGTGTGCATGTGTTGTGTGTGTGCACACATACTTGCATCCACACCTGTAACAGCCCAGGGTCCCAGGGTCCTTGCATGGGACTAACAGCGACCTCTTTTCAGGGCCAGGTGTCTGGACACGGCTCATGTGGGTATGCCCTTCCCCTTTCCCAGGAGCAGCTCGCTGACCTCAAGGAAGATCTGGACAGAGATGACTGTAAGCAGGAGGCTGAGGTGGTCATCTATGAGACCAACTGCCACTGGGAAGACTGCACCAAGGAGTACGACACCCAGGAGCAGCTGGTGCACGTAAGCCTTTGAACCCCAGCAGCTGGCCAACCAGGGCACGGCCCAGGCCATGCAGGATGCTGAGCCTTCCAGGGCCTCTACTAGACAGAAGGGGCTAGAGGAAGAGACCCCCAGAGATGCCTGGGCCACATCCCCTGCAAGTGGGAGGCGTGATTACTTACGTGTGCCCTGCCTGTTTTCAAGATGGCTTCCAATGCCTATGTAATACGAGAGATTAAAAGAAAAAATAAGTAAATGAGACTGTCAGGGAAAAAAGAACAATAAAGTGAAACAAGGAATAGAGTTAGTATTAAAAACCGAGTGCTTTGAGCTATATTCTACATACACTTTTTTTTTCTGAGATTCCTAGTAGCCAGTGCAAAGAGGGAAATACGATTAAACCAGCCAGTATCTACACGATAATAAGTGAAAGAAGCTTCTCCCATGAAGGAAGGAGTTGATCCTGTCCTTTAGGGACTATTCACAGATACCCAGTGGATATGGGTGCAGGTGGGCGTCTACCCAGATCAGAGAGGAGGCTGCTTAACAGTGCCTGAGTAGTGACAGCTCAGGTGATTAGAGAGGACCATGGGAACCGGTGAGCCCTTCAGGGTATGCCTCTTGGTCCTCACTCCAAACTCTCATACCACAGCATCCCTTATGTGGCAGACAGGGTTGATGTGTGCAGTGTGCAGAGCAGAGGCTTGGCACGGGAAACACCTGGCTCCAAACCTGCCCCCACCACAACCAGCTGAGTGCTTCTGAGCCAAGTGACTCCACCTCTGCGAGCCTCATTTTTTTTCCTATCAAGGGGATTGATGCTGCCCCACAGGAGGGTCAGTCATATTCATCAGCACCTAGTGGCTCACAGGCATTCCACACCTAGCAGCTCCCTCCTTCCTCCTCCTGCCTGTTCCCCACACCAGCCCTGAGTGGTTCTCTCTTCTCCATCCAGAGAAGAACTTAAATTCAAGAAAGCCCCCTCCCAACTCCCCAGCACACACTCCTTGGTGAGTGAGTATCTGTAAAGATGAACCCACTAAATTAGTAGCTCGATTGCTGGGAAGAGCAGACACACACGCACGTGCACACACATGCACATGTCTCCTATTCATATTCAGAAGCTGTCCCAAAGGCACTTGCTTCTCCCCAGCTCTGTAAACTTAGCATTTAGGACACGCCGACTCCCTCTTCTTCTTCCACTTATGCAACTTCCTCCCAAATACTGTAGGTTTCTTTTGTGTTGGAGTTTTTCCTCCCAAACGCAGTTCTCACCCAGAAGACCAGAACTTCCCAGCAAACGAATGCAGCTGACATAGAACTGGTGAAGCAGGGTCTTATCTAACCCCTTCTGGATCTCAAACTTAATTTTTCAACTTGTACCACCTCTTTGGGGTACACAAGCCCTGGATGGAGCAGGGACCGTGGAGCTGTGAGTTGCAGAACAAATCAGTTATATGAAAGGAGGAGAGAGGGACAGCCTCTCAGGCCAGGGGAAGGCCAAAGCCAGAGCATGCAGATGAGGATGTCAAAGACGTGCTCTGTGATAAGTGGGTCAGCCCTGAAGAGCAGGCACAGAATTCCTCAAATGAATGCCGAGGGTCCCCAACCTGGAAGGAGGGCTTTAGCCAGGGGCTTCTGCCTGTGCCCTGGACTGTCCTGCAGCTATAGGTGGCCATCTCCACCAGGCCCTAGAAAAAACAGACCCCTTCACCCAGCTCTGTCTCTCCTCTCTCTCTCTCTCTCTCTCTCTCTGCTCTCTGGAAAGATGGATGGAGCAGGCGCACAGGCGAGCTGGAGCCCCTGGTCGATTATTAACAATTTGTTGCTAAGTAAACCAATAAGAAAAAACTGAAAGGCATTGTCAGGAAGCATTTTTATCATTTGAAAGGCTTTACAAATGGAAAGTGAGGCTAATACGATAAGATTTCCCTGGAAGTTCAAAGTGCTGAAGATTTCACATGCTCCAGCAGGGGCATCTGTATGCCTGACAGTTGGGCCAGTCGCACAGGGCATGAGGGCCTGGCAGCTTTCTGTCTTCTGGGGCAAGGTGCTGCCAGTGTCTGATGCCCAGCTCTCGGGACAGCCTCTTTTGGTGGCAAAGGTCCACAGGAGAATGTCCAGCAGAACAATATAGCAGGCCACAAATGCCAGCCACCCATGTAATTTACATTTCCTAGGAGTGCATAATCCCAGCACTTTGGGAGGCCGAGACGGGCGGATCACGAGGTCAGGAGATCAAGACCATCCTGGCTAACACGGTGAAACCCCGTCTCTACTAAAAAAAAATACAAAAAACTAGCTGGGCGAGGTGGTGGGCGCCTGTAGTCCCAGCTACTCAGGAGGCTGAGGCGGGAGAATGGCGTAAACCCGGGAGGCGGAGCTTGCAGTGCGCAGAGATCGCGCCAACACTCCAGCCTGGGCAAGAGAGCGAGACGCTGTCTCAAAAAAAAAAAGAGTAAAAAGAAATAGGTGAAGTTAATTTTAATATTTTTATTTAACCCGATATGTCTGAAATATTATCATTTAGCAGGTAGTCAATAGAAAACAAAATTACCTAAATACTGTATAATCTTTTTTTTTCCATTCTAAGTCTTTGAAACTGGTGTGTAGTTTGTACTTCTAGCCCATCTCAGCTCAGGCCAGCCACATTTCAAGTGTGCAAGAGCCCCATATGGGACAAGTGGTCACTGCATTGGACAGTGTGGGTCCTAGAGGATGTGGCTCCACCACGCCGACGGCCAGGGCCCTGTGCAGGCCACTGAACTCTCTGTGCCTTTGTGGAAAGGGGACAAAGCCGTTATCTCATGGGTCAATGCCAAAAATAGAGATAAGCATGTGTTATTTTTCTATTATAACAAAAGACGTTATTTACAAACCTCTGAAACAGCAGGAGCAAGCTTAGGAGAAGCTTCTCATGCACCCACTATGGGTACGTTTGCCTCGCTGCAGTTAATTAGTGCCTACTGTTTGCAGCCTGGGAGCATCATCACACCAGAACCCAGAGCCCAGGCTGGGGTGCACGGGATGGCTTTGCCCAGTATAGATGGTAACTTTGATGACGGATTGGAAAATGCAGGGAAGATAAGCGGCACGCAGTAGGCCTTCATTTAAGGGCAGCTAGTGATGCTTCATGAGGAGGCGCGGCCTGGCTTGGAGGGGTGGGCGTGTTGGGTCAGTGGTCTGCATATAGTAGGTGGGATGGGCAATGAGGAGCATGGTCGGAACATAATAGGCGTGGTCAGCAGGGTGGGAGGTCTGCACACAGGTCGGGGAGGGTTGGGGGGATGCTGGGGCGGGTGGTCAACTGACAGCAGGCGGAGGTCTGTGGGCCTCCTGGGCCTGCTTACCCTCTCCTGGGCATGTCCCTCCGCAGCACATCAACAACGAGCACATCCACGGGGAGAAGAAGGAGTTCGTGTGCCGCTGGCAGGCCTGCACACGGGAGCAGAAGCCCTTCAAGGCGCAGTACATGCTGGTGGTGCACATGCGGCGGCACACGGGCGAGAAGCCTCACAAGTGCACGGTGAGTGGCCTTCTCCCCACCCCCGTCGCGTCGTCAGGACCGGCCCTTCAGCCAGGCCAGGGGGATCGTGTTTGGAGGTGGCTGGCCACAGGCACACCTGGGTGGAACAGGCCACAGCAGGGGCTCTGGGACCGGAGCCTGTTCCCACCCTGCCTGTTTGGGTCCTGGAGGCCCCTCGCCTCGTGGCATCCCAGACCTTGATGGACTTGCTCTGTGGGCGTGAGCATCTCCGTAAGCACGGCAGAGGTGTGTGGGTGTGTCTGTGATTGTGAGTCCAAAGGCATATCTGCATCCTGAAGTTTGCTTGGCTGGGTGACACTGGGCGGAGGGACCGCTCCATAGCACTCTGCAGAGAAAAAAACATCCTTGGTAATTCAGAGCTTGAGCAATGATGGGTTAAAACTCATTTGGGTTGAGGGTTTTTTCTGTTTGTTTTTTGAGACAGTCGCACTTTGCCACCCAGGCAGCTCCTTGTAGCCTCTACCTTCTGGGCTCAGGCGATCCTCCCACCTCAGCCTCCTGAGCAGCTGGGACTACAGGCACATGCCACCACACCAGGATAATTTTTGTATCTTTTTGTAGACACGGGGTTTCGCCATGTTGCCCAGGCTGCTCTTGAACTCCTGGGCTCAAGCAGTCCGCCTGCCTCGGCCTCCCAAAGTGCTGGGATTACAGGCTTGAGCCACAGATCCTGGCTGAGTGTTTCTTTTGTTTTGTTTTGTTTTTTTAATGAGCTCAAAGATAAGACCTTTTCTACGGTCTCCTTTAGAGGTCAACAGGCTTTATGACTATTAGTTGGAGAGACTATTTTTTAAAAACACAGAAACTGCTGCCCCACAAAAGCAGACGTGGTTTTAGCTGCAGCTGAAACATCTGGGAACTCCTCTTTGTGAATTCTTGTTTCATAGATTCTAAGGCATACATTCTATTTTCACCTTAACATCTCTGAAGTCAGACTGTCTTAAAATCAGTGGTGTCCGGGATCCAATGAAATATGCTACCTTTGTTGGCAAGTCAGTTTTTTTAATTGAGAAATAGCTGACATACCATAAAGTTCACCCTTTTAAGAAAATGTACAATTTAATTGTTTTTAGTACATTCACAGATTTGTGCAACCATCGCTACTAGTTAATTTCAGAACATTTTCATCACCCCAGAAAGATACCCTGTACTCATTAGCAGCCACTCCTAATTCTCTCCTTCCCACAGCCCTGGACAGTTACTAATCTGCTTTCTGCCTGTATGGATTTGCCTATTCTGGAAATTTCATAAAAACTGAAATCATACAATATGTGCCTTTGTGTCTTGCTTCTTTCAGTTAACATGTCTTCAAGGTTCATCTGTGTTGTAGCATGCACATGTACTTTCTTTCTTTTTGTGGCTACCTAATATTCCATTGTATGGATAGACTATGTTTTGTTTGTGCATTCATCAGTTGATGGATATTTGCATTGTATTTACTTTGAGGCTATTATGAATAATGCTGCTATGAACATGTGTGTTCATGTTTGTATATGGACAGAACGTTTTCACTTCTGTTGGGTATGTGTAACTAGGAGTAGAATTGCTGAGTCATATGGCAGTTGAGGAACTGCTGGTTTGTTTTCCAAAATCAATGCTCCATTTTACCTTTCCACCCACAATGAATGAGAGTTCTGATTTCTGCAAATCCTCACCAACACTGGTTGTTACCTTTTTTATTCTAGCCATATCCTAGTGGGTGTAAAGTAGTATTTTATTGTGTTTTTGATTAGCCCTTCCCTAATTAGTGATTAATAATGTTAAACACCTTTTCAGGTGCTTATTGGCCATTTGTGTATCTTCTTTGGAGAACTGTCTACTCAAATATTGCCCATTTTGAAATCTGGTTGTCTTTTTGTTGTTAAATTGTAAGAATTTTTTATGTATCTGGTTACTAGACCCTTATCAGATATATGATTTGCAAATAATTCTCCCATTCTCTGGGTTTTCTTTTCATTTTCTTGATACTTTAAAGCACAAAAGTTTTTAATTTTGAGGCTGTACAATGTTTTAATTCCTTGTGCTTTTAGCGTCATAGCTAAGGAACCATTGCCTAATCCAAGGTCACAAAACTTTACCCTTATGTTTTCTTCTAAGAGTTTTATAGTTTTAAACTTTTATTTATAAAAATATTGAATACTGGCACTCTGAAAAATTTAAAAAGTAAAAAAAGAAAGAAATATATGTGTGTATAGAGAGCTTTATAATATAGCTCTTCCATTGTCACCCAGGCTGGAGTGCAGTGGCGCCATCTTGGCTCACTGCAACATCTGCATCCCAGGTTCAAGCGATTCTCCTGCCTCAGCCTCCCAAGTAGCTAGGATTACAGGCGTGCACCACCATGCCTGGCTAATTTTTTGTATTTTTAGTAGAGACAGGGTTTCACCATGATGGCCAGGCTGGTCTTGAACTCCTGACCTCAGGTAATCCTCCTGCCTCAGCCTCCCAAAGTGCTAGGATTACAGGTGTGAGCTGCTACGCCCAGCTGGAGTTAATTTTTGTAGATGGTATGAGGTAGGGATCCAAACTTACTCTTTTGCATATGATTATGCAGTTGTCCAAGTCCATTTGTTGAAAACCTGTTCTTTCCATTTGAATGGTCTTGGCACCCTTGTCAAAAATCAATTGACCTTAAGTGTCTGGGTTTCTTTCTGAACTGCCAGTTGTATTGCCTGGATCTCTATGTCTCTCTTTATGCCAGTACCACATTCAGTCTTTATTACTGTCAATTTGTAGGAAGTAAATTGGGACATATGAGTTCTCCAAATTTGTCCTCCTTTTGCAAGATTGTTCTGGCTCTTCGGGGTTCATTGCAACAAGTTATTTTCTTAACATCCTCAGTACTGGCAAACCATAGCCCTTTGATGATATGAGCTGTGAGTTGCGGAAACAGATAAAAGGCATTTGGAGCCAAGCGTGCTCAATCAGACTGGTCAGGAATAAAGGAGAGGATGGGAGGAATGAGACAGCTCCTGCCGGGGTGTACGTGTCCTCCTGAGGGCGGTTTGCATACATCCATTCAATGCAACCGCAGTATCTTTGGAATAGCTGCAGTTTCCTGCAATGATCTCTTCTTCCTTCTCCCCTTCCTCCCTCCTTCCCTCTCTCCCCACCTCCTTTCCTTCCTTCCTCTCTCCCTTGCTCCCTCTTTTCCTCCTTCCTTCCTTTCCAGAATTGTTTCTTGAGTGCTTAGGTGCTAAATATTAGGAAGACAGCAATGAACATGACCCAGAAGATTCCTGCTCTGTGGAGCTGGTATTCTAGTAAGAACGCTGGGTAACAAAATGATTCAGATCATTATAAATCGAGCCAAGGGGTATAAAGGAGAGAGGATAGAGTGTTGTGATTGAGAATATCAGAAAAGTGCTCTCAGAGGAGACGACCTAAAAGATTGAGAGGGAGGGACCTGGGCCAGGAACCGGATTGGGAGGAGGCTGCGGAAGTTTCCAGCCAGAGGAGTCAGTAGTATGCAGAGGCCCCAAGCCAGGAAGAACTTAGTGGAGTCAAAGAACTGAAAGGAGACCAGCGTGTCCAGAGTGAAGGTGAGGGTGGCCGACTCACTTAAGGACTTGGAAGACTGAATTTTATTCTCAGCACATTTTAGCGCACAGAAAAATTCTAATCGAGAGTGGTACTGGGAAACAGTTCAAAGTAATAGTTTAGAGTTTAATGATACGGGAATATGCTGCTGATTTAAAAACTGGTGACTGAATACTTGATATGTTCCCAATTTTGGTTTTAAAGACATGGGGAGATGAATTGCAGAGTCACCAGACATGAAACTTACCACATGTCAGCAGTGGCAGCCCCTGGGCAACCGGTGGTTTTCGTTTTTCTCTTTGTACTTTTCAGCCCTTTCCATGTTTTCAGGAAAGGAAAGTAATATCCTTAAAATGCCTGCTTCTGAGTGCGCTGATGGGGTGGAGCAGAGCAGAGGAGGGGGTGGGAAGGAAGCAGCAGCCGGCCTCTAGGTTGGGCCCCCTGGGGTGCCTTGACTGACTGAACCACCTCCTTCTAGTTCGAGGGCTGCTCGAAGGCCTACTCCCGCCTGGAGAACCTGAAGACACACCTGCGATCCCACACCGGGGAGAAGCCATACGTGTGCGAGCACGAGGGCTGCAACAAAGCCTTCTCCAATGCCTCGGACCGTGCCAAGCACCAGAATCGCACCCACTCCAATGAGGTACCCCCGCAGGGCATGCGCTGGGCATGTACACGGGAGCCCCACTGACATCCCATGGCTTCCAGGCGTCTGTAGGCCAGTAGATAGCCAGGTGCCTGGTGTCTTGCCCCCACCACTGACCAGCTGTACATCCTCAGACACAGACCAGGACTCTGAGACCTGGACAGACCGGTCTCTTTCTCTGTGCCACATCCTTTCCTCTAAAAGATGCCCCATGAGGTCCCATGGAATACTGACCCTCTCTGTGCCTCAATTTCCTTATCTCTGTAATGAATATAATAGTGCCCTCCCCAAAGGCTGTCATGAGGTCCTCGGGAGCTGAGGCTGAGGCAGGGAAGTGGCCCCTCTGATCTCAGAGTGCTTCACATGCATCTGTCCCTATTACTTGGGGCTGCTGGGTGGGTTCTGCCTCCCCATCCCCTAGATGAGGAAACGAAGACTCAGAGATGAAGTGACTTACCCCAGTGCCAGATGAGTGATGAATCCTCTGCAGCTGTGAAAACACCTGGATCACTGTTTCATACCCCCAAATTCCCTTTCCACCACAAGCAGGTGTCCCACTGGGGAGCAGCTGCCCCGCTGCCTGGGGGAAGCAGAGCAGTGCTGTCTGAGTGTGGCATTTGTTGGCAGCCCCCTGGCCTGTTGGCTTGGGCAGCCAGCAGTGACACGCTCCAGCTGTTAGTGCTGCCTGGGCCTGCCGTGGCGGTCAACCCCAGCAGATGGGGCATAGAGTAGCCTCTGCCACCCTGGGTAGGCAGAGCCCCTATCTGGGCTGAGAGAACCAGGGAGAAAGCGGGGCAAGAGCCGGTGGTGTCCTGGCCCAGCCACACAATTACTGTCGCTCAGGCTTACTCAGAAATGTATGTTTTTAAAAGCTTAGACACATCCTGGACCCCAAAGGGAATTTGCTCCAATGCTTATAAGAAGTGAGAGGAATTTTCTCTTTTTTTCCTTTTTTTTTTTTTTCTTTTGAGACGGAGTTTCTCTCTGTCGCCCAGGCTAGAGTGCAGTGGCGCAATCTCGGCTCACTGCAAGCTCCGCCTTCCAGGTTCACGCCATTCTCCTGCCTCAGCCTCCAGAGTAGCTGGGACTACAGGCGCTGCCACCATGCCTGGCTAATTTTTTTGTATTTTTAGTAGAGACGGGGTTTCACCGTGTTAGCCAGGATGGTCTCGAACTCCTGACCTCGTGATCCACCCGCCTGGGCCTCCCAAAGTGCTGGGATTACAGGCGTGAGCCACTGCACCTGGCCTAAGTGAGAGGAATTTTCAAAGGCATCTGAACCCCTCAGAGTCTCTATGGGCAAGAGCCAGCCTTAGAGGGGAGTGTGTGTGCACATGTGTGTATGTGTGTTTGTAAGTGTATTATGTATGTGTGTATAGATGTGGGGGAGCAGGGGTGTGGGTATCTGTATGTGGATATGAGTGTGCACGTTTGTAAGTGTGTGTTTTTGTGCAGACGTGGTGTGGGGTGTGTGTGTGTGTGTTTATGAGTCCAGGACTGAGGTTCGGAAATCCTGGGTTTTTTTCACCCCATTACTGGATGACTTGGAACCCGTTCCTTTGCCTCCCTGATCCTGCCTTTCTTCATCAGAGAAATCAGGGGTGCTAGTGCTGTCACAGGGTACACTGAGCTCGTACACTTGCTACTAGTACTAAAAACCCCACTGCCCTGTTCACTGAGAGGCAGCATTGTGATTACACGAGGCATGTGTGTCCCCAGCTTCTTGTGGCAGGACCCCCCTTGGCCATGTGCTTAACTGCACGAACAAGTGCCAGACAAGCCAGGCTAAGGCCAGGCTCCTGCATGGCACCATCCACAGAGCACTGGCTGCCAATTCGACAGAACACCTACTGACGTTGCCAGCTGGGCTCTGCTGAGGGACGTGGGTAGCTTTAGGAGAACAGGGAGAGTGCCCCTTCAGAGTTGATCCTTGTACCCCCATCCATGACACAGGCCTGCTTCTCTCCCCAGAAACCCTACATCTGCAAGATCCCAGGCTGCACCAAGAGATACACAGACCCCAGCTCTCTCCGGAAGCACGTGAAAACGGTCCACGGCCCAGATGCCCACGTCACCAAGAAGCAGCGCAACGACGTGCACCTCCGCACACCGCTGCTCAAAGAGAATGGGGACAGTGAGGCCGGCGCCGAGCCTGGCGGCCCAGAGAGCACCGAGGCCAGCAGCACCAGCCAGGCCGTGGAGGACTGCCTGCACGTCAGAGCCATCAAGACCGAGAGCTCCGGGGTAAGCGGAGCTGGGCAGCCCAGCCACGCAAGGCGACTCCATAGCCGTGCCCAGGGCCACCCCCGACCACAGTTGTGGCCTCTGTCCTAAGGCCCCCCTCTAAGGGCACAGCGATGTCCCTCCTCTCTCCAACTTGGCTTTCGCCCTTCACCAGCTTGGGCCTCACGTGAAACCTATCTTGTCCAGGTCCCACTCAGCTCTGACCAGGCTCTTACTGGGTGTGTGCCAGCACCCTCAGTGACAGGGATGATGCCATGTACGGTGGCCCTGCACAGGGCGGGGGCGGCCCCTGCATGTCTGCCTTTCCAGCCAGCACCCAAGTGCCGCTGCCAACCCCCACCCCTCTGTCCTGTCTCTGCCTCCCCACCCCTCTGGCGTCCACTCCTTTTGTTCTAACCACCTGTTCTTTGTCTCCATCTCTTTTTCCCGACTGTACCTCCCCTAAGGATAGACGGTACTGAGGTGAGCCAAGGAGTTGGGCGTGTGTGGGTGGGATGAGGGAGTGAGGGTGGCTGGGGAGCCGGTCCATGCTGCTGCCTGGCAGAGACTCACCTGTCAGTCCAGGCCTCCTAGGTCCAGGCAGGTGGGCCCGGACAGGCACACACGGTAGGGCACTGCAGGTGGGGCCATTGGCCTTGGCAGCCGGAGTGGAGCTGGCAGGTGTGGGGAGCAGGGGCGCCAGGCTGTATCAGGGACAGAGTGACAGGGAGGCATGCGTCCAGGCTGCAGAAGGTCCTGAGGGCCAAGCAGAGGAATGTGGATGGCGCCATGGACCACACCCTGCTCCCATGAAGCCTGTATCCTCCCGGGAAGGAAGATCGCAGCTTCCCAAGGAAGCTGAATTTGGGCCATTTGGCCTAACAATGAACCCAGAGATGGTGCCTCTGGTGCAGGCCTCATCTGGGCCCAGATCCGAGTTCTGTGGATGTCGTCCGAGTTCTGTGGTATTCTGCACTGTACATGTGCTGTGAGCTCCCTGCCCCGCTCTACCTAACCCAGAGGGAAGGCTGCTTTGGGGTGGCCCTTTGCACAAGGGCTGCATCCCACAGGTCCCCCTCCCTGGTCATCCTTTCCCTTTCCAACAACCTGCCCCTGGCCTTTTGAGATCATCCTGTCTGGTTGAAGCCACCACGTCAGCAGGCTTTCGTTCCCCACCTCATCGGGGTACATGGCTGTTGGTGGCAGTGTTTAAGTGCCTTCTTTTGTGCCATACTGGGTGCCTTCTGCATGCTGCGTGCTGTCCATCCATCCACTAACTGCACCGGAATCAGTTCAGGTCCATCTCTTAGTTGGGGAAGCCAAGGTTAAGAGAAGTGAAGTGACTTGACCATTTTAAGCAAACAGACTCATGATGCTTTACATGCTCCTCCGCAAGGCAGCTTCCTCTCCTCACCCCCAGCCCCCCAGGGTGCGCAAGGGTGTGGTGCCCGTGCAGACCCTCTGAGTCTGTGCCTTCTCGCCTCGTCCCTGCAGCTGTGTCAGTCCAGCCCCGGGGCCCAGTCCTCCTGCAGCAGCGAGCCCTCCCCGCTGGGCAGTGCCCCCAACAATGACAGTGGCGTGGAGATGCCGGGGACGGGGCCCGGGAGCCTGGGAGACCTGACGGCGCTGGATGACACACCCCCAGGGGCTGACACCTCAGCCCTGGCTGCCCCCTCCGCTGGTGGCCTCCAGCTGCGCAAACACATGACCACCATGCACCGGTTCGAGCAGCTCAAGAAGGAGAAGCTCAGGTCACTCAAGGACTCCTGCTTATGGGCCGGGCCGACTCCACACACACGGAACACCAAGCTGCCTCCCCTCCCGGGAAGTGGTGAGTGAAGGCCCAGGGTTTGCAGATGGGGCAAGAGCGAGTCTGGGGCAGCACCAACTAGGCTGGCACCCACCAAGCACCAGTGCTATCTCACTGGCTGCCTACAGGATCTTACCAGCCCAGTACAGTAAAGGAAGCTGAGGCTCAGAGAGGTGAAATGCCTTACCCAAATCAATGGCAGGGGTGAGATTTAGCCTAGGTCTGTGTGGCTCCAAAGCTCACGCTCTTTCAGCTGCACCACGCTGAGTCCCTGTAATCCCCCAAAACAAGCAGACCCTGCGCACATCATCCTCGTCCTCACCCAGTCATTCATTCACTGACTGGGCACTTGCTGTGGGCACCATAGCAATGGCCCTAGGCAGGAGAGCCATTTAATTCCAGTCCCAAATAAGTGTATGGTTAGAAGGCTGTGCCACCAGACTCACACTCTACTGCAGAACGAGCCAGGTCCCACCAAAGCCAGAGCTTAAGGTAGAGCTGTGCAGAGGAAGGAGAAAGCACATTGAGCTGGTGATGAGCCGGGAGGACTTCATGGAGGAGGTGGCGCTGTGCTCAGCCTCAAGAGGTGTTGGCCAGGCTCTGAGATGGAAGGCGTCTTTAGCGAGCATGTCTTAGGTACTGCCTCTGTCCCAGGATTGTGCCGGGCTGCCCACTGTGGTCGACACTGATGTACCACCTGCTCTCACTTGAAGGGAGGATTTGTCGTCCCAACTTGTGGGGACTCTCAGTAAATGGCCTTGAACTCTCAGCCCCCTACAGGGATCTCCTGGGTTGCAGACAGATGCCCCACCCAAGGTCACCCCTTCCCATCAGGCCCACATGCAGTGACTGGTCTCTACAGAAGTGCAAAGGCCCAGCCATCAAGATGAGACTCAGAGAGGTGCCCAACTTAGGGCAGCACTGAAGAGCCATTGGAGGTCCTGGGCTCCCTGTGAGATCCTCCTGGGCTCACTTCTCCTCTGCCCACTCTTGCAGCCTGTCTTTCCTTCCATGGGTATGGACCTCAGGGTACTCCCTGTAATAGCCTGCTCCTTAAACTCCATCTCAGGAGAGCCCAGGTGGCAACATCTCCACGGACTGTGAGGGTACAGTGCCAGGAGACCAACCTGCGCCTTCCTGAGCCGCTCATCCCCTCCTCTGCATAACTCAGTCCTATGGAGAGACAGATTTATCTACAGCTGGAGAAACTGAGGGCCAGAGAAAGGAGAATTCAAGGCCAGACAGATAATGGTAAAGTTAAGATAGGGACTTAGGCCTCCTGGCTTCCCCTTGCCTACCCTTTCAATAAGTGCCACCATTTGTTTACATATTGCTTTTTCCTTCTCCTGCTTAATTGAAAAACCATCTGCTCACTGGGCATGGTGGCACACGTGTGCCCTAGCTACTCCAGAGTCTGAGGAGGGAGGATCCCTTGAGCCCAGGAGTTCAAGGCCAGCCTGGGAAACCCTGTCTCTAAAAAGAGAAAGAGAGAAAACATGCATCTCCTGAGTGTACTGTGTTCCAGGCCCTCTTCTCGGGCTCCAGGCCCAGTGCGATGACTGAGCATGGTCAAAGCAGGCAGCTACCCACCCTTGTCCCGGTGCTGACTCCTCTGCTTTCCCGCAGGCTCCATCCTGGAAAACTTCAGCGGCAGTGGGGGCGGTGGGCCCGCGGGGCTGCTGCCCAACCCTCGGCTGTCGGAGCTGTCCTCCGGCGAGGTGACCATGCTGAGCCAGCTGCAGGAGCGCCGCGACAGCTCCACCAGCACCGTCAGCTCCGCGTACACCGTGAGCCGCCGCTCCTCCGGCATCTCCCCCTACTTCTCCAGCCGCCGCTCCAGCGAGGCCTCGCCCCTGGGCGCTGGCCGCCCGCACAACGCCAGCTCCGCGGACTCCTACGACCCCATCTCCACGGACGCGTCGCGGCGCTCGAGCGAGGCCAGCCAGTGCAGCGGCGGCTCTGGGCTGCTCAACCTCACGCCCGCGCAGCAGTACAGCCTGCGGGCCAAGTACGCTGCGGCCACGGGCGGCCCCCCGCCCACCCCGCTACCAGGCCTGGAGCGCATGAGCCTGCGGACCAGGCTAGCGCTGCTGGACGCGCCCGAGCGCGCGCTGCCCGCCGGCTGCCCACGCCCGCTGGTGCCGCGGCGTGGCAGCGATGGGCCGACCTATGGCCACGGCCACGTGGGGGCTGCGCCCGCCTTCCCGCACGAGGCTCCAGGCGGCGGAGCCAGACGGGCCAGCGACCCTGTGCGGCGGCCCGATGCCCTGGCCCTACCGCGGGTGCAGCGCTTCCACAGTGCCCACAACGTGAACCCCGGCCCACTGCCGCCGTGTGCCGACAGACGAGGCCTCCGCCTGCAGAGCCACCCGAGCACCGACGGCGGCCTGGCCCGTGGCGCCTACTCGCCCCGGCCGCCTAGCATCAGCGAGAACGTGGCGATGGAGGCCGTGGCGGCAGGGGCCGACGGCCCGGGGCCCGAGGCTGACCTGGGGCTGCCAGAGGACGACCTGGTGCTGCCCGACGACGTGGTGCAGTACATCAAGGCGCACGCCAGTGGCACTCTGGACGAGGGCGCCGGGCAGGTATATCCCATGGAAAGCACTGGCTTCTCTGACAACCCTAAACTGCCCAGCCCGGGGCTGCACGGCCAGCGCAGGTTGGTGGCTGCAGACTCCAACGTGGGCCCCTCCGCGCCTGTGTTGGGAGAATGCCAGTTAGGCTTTGGGGCGCCCTCCAGCCTGAACAAAAATAACATGCCTGTGCAGTGGAACGAGGTGAGCTCCGGCACCGTGGATGCCCTGGCCAGCCAGGTGAAGCCTCCACCGTTTCCTCAGGGCAACCTGGCGCTGGTGCAGCAGAAGCCTGCCTTTGGCCAGTACCCAGGCTACAGTCCACAAGGCCTACAGGCGAGCCCTGGGGGTCTGGACAGCACACAGCCACACCTTCAGCCGCGCAGCGGAGCCCCCTCCCAGGGCATCCCCAGGGTAAACTACATGCAGCAGCCGCGGCAGCCAGTGGCCGGCAGCCAGTGTCCTGGCATGACCACCGCTATGAGCCCCCATGCCTGCTATGGCCAAGCCCACCCCCAGCTGAGCCCCAGCACCGTCAGTGGGGCCTTCAGCCAGTTCCCCCAATCCTGCAGCAACATGCCAGCCAAGCCAGGGCATCTGGGGCACCCTCAGCAGACAGAAGTTGCACCTGACCCTACCATGATGGGCAATCGCCACAGGGAACTTGGGGTCCCCAATTCAGCCCTGGCTGGAGTGCCACCACCTCACCCAGTTCAGAGCTACCCACAGCAGAGCCATCACCTGGCAGCCCCCATGAGCCAGGAGAGCTACCACCAGGTCCCCAGCCTTCTGCCTGCCCGCCAGCCTGGCTTCATGGAACCCCAACCAGGCCCGATGGGGGTGGCTACAGCAGGCTTTGGTCTAGTGCAGCCCCGGCCTCCTCTCGAGCCCAGCCCTGCTGGCCGCCATCGTGGGGTACGTGCTGCGCAGCAGCAGCTGGCCTATGCCAGGGCCACAGGCCATGCCATGGCTGCCATGCCATCCAGTCAGGAGACAGCAGAAGTTGTGCCCAAGGGAGCGATGGGCACCTTGGGGTCGATGCTTCCCCAGCCGCCTCCGCAGGACACAGGTGGGGCCCCGGCCCACAACATGCTCTACTACTACGGCCAGATCCACATGTACGAACAGGATGGAGGCCTGGAGAACCTCGGGGGCTGCCAGGTCATGCGGTCCCAGCCACCACAGCCACAGGCCTGTCCGGACAGCATCCAGCCCCAGCCCTTGCCCTCACCAGGGGTCAACCAGGTGTCCAGCACTGTAGACTCCCAGCTCCTGGAGGCCCCCCAAATTGACTTTGATGCCATCATGGATGATGGCGATCACTCAAGTTTGTTCTCGGGTGCTCTGAGCCCCAGCCTCCTCCACAGCCTCTCCCAGAACTCCTCCCGCCTCACCACCCCCCGAAACTCCCTGACCCTGCCCTCCATCCCCGCAGGCATCAGCAACATGGCTGTTGGAGACATGAGCTCCATGCTCACCAGCCTTGCCGAGGAGAGCAAGTTCCTGAACATGATGACCTAGAGCCCCAAGCGCCTGGCGCTGAGTGCACCCAGAGGGGTCATCGCTGCCCAGAGCCTGGGGGTTCCAGCTGTTTTGTCTTTTTCCAAAAAAGTGTTAAATAGGCTTGAGGGGTTGTTGCGCAATGGCCGCTTCAGATGACAGATGTTGTAAGAGAAGGTTTATGGGCATCCTCTCTGGTCTTTTGGATTATTCCTCAGAACAATGAAAAAAGTCCATAGGACAGGAAGGAATGCAAAACTCATTCACACAGTGCTTTCCAGCCTTTGGTGCTTACAGGACCAGTCTGTTCTGGCTTCTTCAGGGCTGACATTCGGCTAACGCGGGATTACTTTGGCCAAAGCCTTTCCAAGGATATGCAGAAAGACGGTAGGGAGCGTTTGGGTTTGAATCTGAACGCCATACTGGGTACTCTGCTCCGGAAAGATGAGCTGCTGCTTCTGCTACTTGGAAGGAAAAGGAATTCCTGATCCACCTGAATTCCTCTATGATCCTAACTCTTGGGGTCTGTAACGTCCCTTGTCATAGAGGAAAAACACAGATTATACCTGGAGGATTCAGAAGCACATTCTGATTCCAGGTTTGGTAGAGCTGGCTCTTCTACCCCATAAAGCCGAGCCTGGGACTGGCAGCCCATCCAAGTGTATGTGAATGAATAAAGTATGTAAGTATCACCAGAAAAAGGAAAGAAAAAAATGTACTCCTCGGGACAAGCCCAGAAGCTGCCCTGGCCTCTTCAGACCGTGTTTACAGTGTTTGCATGTAGAATGTAGCCCTTACTGAAAAGAAGACTTGTTTCTAAATACCTCGGGGCTGCTGGAGCCACTGTGGGTTAGGGATAGACTGAGGCCTCGAGAAGTGAGCGTGCACTGGGGACCCAGCCTCAGGCCACCCTGGGGATCTCCCAGTAGGAAGAGGAAGTTGCATGTTTACCCAGTCCTGTTTCTCCAATGCAGTGTCCACCCACTTTACCACGAAAAACTCCAGGGCCTGACGGCAGCGCAGGCTCCCCCAGCACTCACCAGCAGCCCAGTGTTCTCCGCCAAGCCACAGTGTGCATGCCTGGTATCCTCCGGATTCCCTTCCTTCTGCCCACCAAGTCATTGGGCAGAGAATGATGACGTGTGTGGTAGTGTGACTGGGGGTAGAAAGGGGAAGGGGTTGATCCTCAGGACTCTGAGGGAGCGTCATTGAATTTCCCTGTTCAGTGTGACCAAGACCCACCTGGAAATGGCTTCAGGAGACTTCATTCCTGAACACACTGTAGGGTGAATTGGTGCATCTTCCCCACCACACACACACACACACACACACACACACACACACACACACCCCAAACCTTTTCATGGGGAATGTGTGGCAACCTTGCCAAACAGCACCACTCAGAGTGTGACTCTGACTGTGACCTTGGCCTCCATGAGGAACCTCTTAGGACAGTTTGAGGACAAGGCCAACATCATTATCTGGGCCCCCTGCGTCCCAGCACATCAAACTCTGTCGGGAGACAAGGCCAAGTGCAAGTGAAAGCCAGGGAACATTGCTAAGGGTCTGTGGCTCTGCGGTGTGGTCATGACCTTCCTGAGATAGGATTTCCCTTGCCAGTCCCAACCTGTATCTATTCAGTACGGAAGATATCCCTGGATATACTGCAGGTGAGTCGTCCAGCCAAATTTATATCTCCAAAACATTTTTAGCTTTTTCTACATGCTATGAATTGAGATGACATGTTCAACTTGTAAATAAGTCTTTTTGTACATTAAAAAAGTAATTTTTTCATAATCTATCTTGTCTATCTGCTTTTCCCTTGACAGTAGTTAATGAGAACCTAGGCAGTAAATTTGGTGCATTCGAGCAGAAATTAGGCTGTATTTTTTCTTAACAGTGTCAAAATTGACTATCCCGCCTTTGCCAAGAAATGTTTAATGCTGAGGCATTTACTGGCTGTTTGTTTGTTGTCTCCTTGGGGCTGGGCAGGGTTTGACATTTCACAGTGAATATCTGACTGCTGCCCTGGTGAGCTGCTCTGAACATCTATATGCATTGCAGACCAGGGTGTAGACCCAGACACTCCTGGGGTCAGACCCCTCCCTTTGGTGGGCACTCGGATGGAGCACATTTCATCAGGGTGGGGTGGGGTGAGATGGGCAAACCCCCAAGGCTCTGGTGCAGGTAGAATGAGTCAGGGCAGGCAGGTGGCACCTCCAGGATGCCCATCAGTTGGCCTTGGCAAAGGGGCCCATGGGGAGCAACCATGAGCAGGGTCTCTGAGCTCTAGGGGACTGCCCAGCAGGTGGACAGGGAGAGCCTGGGTCCAGCGGGCAGGCTAGTCAGCTGGTGGCCCCTGCAGTAAACCTCAGGGAGCCCTTGAATGAGTCATGAGGCCCCATCTAGGGGTAGGGCCAGAGACAGGGAGCAGGGAGCAGAGCCCCAGGACTGAATTAGAGGGGTAAGAGGGCACCTTCTAAGGACCAGGCATGCCGGGCCTCTGAACACCCAGCCCAGACCCCTTTATCCTCTCCTCTCCAGGAGAGAAGGCTTAGCACACACGTTGGGCAGTGTGGACACCAAAGCCACATGGGACATCATCTTTGCCTGGAAGGCACGAGACACATGGACTGGGGAAGGGTTTTGTGGTCAGACACTTGCAGGAAACCCCCAAGGAGAAGAGAATTGAGCAGGTTTCCTTTCCACAAGCATCCCACAGCCTCCACTGTGCATCAGGGAGCCGCCACTTCTCTGGCCAACATTTCCTAGAGGAAAGGCCCCGCTCCTCCCCAAGGAGCAGTGTCGCTCAGCGAGCTCCCAGGGAGGAAGTGAGCGTGCACAGCTCTGCCCTTCCCTCCTCTTCTTTCCAAAGCCCACTTTCGGGGCTCACACTTTTCTCTGCTTCACCACTTGTTGAGCCTCTGGAAACAGCTCTGCCCTACTTTGTGGCGAGGGTGAGGCCTCATGTTATTCAGTGCCACCTGAGGTTGGATGAGCCATAGTATTAACAGCCCACTGTGGTCATTCAGACGAGCCATCTCCTCTGGGTCAGGTAACGACGTCCACAGTCGCGCTGTGTAACAACATCCGTGAAACCTCAGCACCGTATAACAATAAGCATGTAGTTAGCTCATGAACCCGAAGGTCTGAAGGTTGGCTGCCCCGGGCCGGGCTTGGCTGGGCTGTCTCCATCTGTGACTCAGCTGGGGTCAGCTAGTCTAGGTGGCTTGGCCTTGCCCAGTGTGACTTGCATCTTCCTCCCAGGACCAAGACACTAGTAATGACAGAAGCACAGGAGGGCAAGCCAGCGGCCGTAGGTCCCCAAAGCAAGTCACGTGGCCAGAGCCATCACCTGTGCAGTGGGGACGGGTCCTCCTGTGGAAGTGAGCGGAAAATAGCAAATATTTCCCAACAGGAATCCAGTCTACCACAGCCTGCCTTCCTAGAGACAGTGATTCATGTTCCACATGCAGAAAATACCCAATCAACACCCCCAGGAAAAAAAAAACTCTCCGGTCAGACTTAGACTTCAGGCTTAAAGCCCAGGATCTTGTGGTCTATGTCTGGGTGTGGTTCTTCTTACCAGCTAAAAAGACAAGTTTTCTGCCCCTCACATCCTGCACATACACCCAACATACAGTGGTAGACCAGGGCTAGAATAACACCAATGAACACTCCCATCTAGAAAGGGAGATAGAGGCACACAGCAGTCCCTGGTTCAGGCATCTGAAATCCTGCTGGACGAATGCTGCAACGCCCCTGCTCTGGGGGTGGGATGCTCCCTGAGTGGCTCCCAGGCCATCGTGATCCATAGTTCTACCTTCCTCTGCTGGGGCCTTCCTTTTCCATCATCCTTTCAACTTCTGATGAGGATGTTGGAAAATAGTCCCTTTGGCAGTGGAGTAACTTTCAGCATCTTCCTGCCTGTAGGAAGTTGGGAGCCTAAGGTTCTTTAGGTTCAAACCTTCTCAGTTTTCTTTGAGTCCTGGGCCTTGCCTTTGCCCAGGGCGATCTCTCAGGCATCTCACGAGTTTTCTATGTATTTGACTCCAGCCCACTGTGTGTCAGAAGCCACACCCAAATTCCTTTAGCAATATGCCTCCCTGCATTTGACAACGTGTGCCCCCACATCAGGCTGTTGTGGGCCGCACCCTGATAGTCTGCAGACACCCTGTTGTTGTTGAAAGGATATGCTTGGTGCCACCTTATTCCTTGCAAGGACCTGATGACAAAGGGCATTACCATTAAGGGCACATCCCTGATGTCATCTCAAATCTGAGACATGCTTCACCAACATAGCCCTAGATCTGGTCTTTGCCTCCCAGGCCAGATATGAGGTTGGTGCAAAAATAATTACTTTTATGCGGCAATTATTATACACCAAACTAATATTAATTTGAGGACCTTTTACTGGCTGGAGAGCCTGGAGATGGGAAGTGATTTTGTTTTCTAAATTCTGCTTGTACACTGGCCAGTTCCTTTCTGAACTCGTCTTTTACTTGTAGAACCTTATCATTTGCAGCTCAAAGAAGGCCATGTTTACAATATTCTCCCTGGAAACCATCCTGCCCAACTCCACTAACTCATAAGTACATTTTCTCCCTCCCAAAGTATCATAGGCAATAATTTTACCAGATGTTTCTCCACCACATAACAGGTCACCATTTTTCTTGCCATTTTTCCCAACCGCCTCTGTATTTCCTCACTGCCCAGTTCCAAACCTCTGCTACGTATTTTAGGAGCAGCAGCCTCCGATTCTAGGTACCGATTTCAGAATAAGTTAACTGCAGTCCAGTAGTGCTGTCTAATAAAAATGCTTACAGGCCGGATGCAGTGGTTCATGTCTGTAATCCCAGCACTTTGGGAGGCTGAGGCAGGCGAATCAGAAGGTAAAGAGTTCGAGAGCAGCCTGGCAAATGTGGTGAAACCCCGTCTTTACTAAAAATACAAAAATTAGCTGGGCGTAGTGGCGTGCGCCTGTAGTCCCAGCTACTCAGGAGGCTGAGGCAGAAGAATCGCTTGAACTCGGGAGGTGAAGGATGCAGTGAGCCAAGAGCGTGCCAGTGCACTGCAGCCTGGGCGACAAAGCAAGACTTCAAAAACAAAACAAAATAAAAAAATGCTTACAACAGGAGGCATCTGTTTAGTTCCTAAGTCTGGGCGTCAGCTGAGGTGGACTTAGCAAGGCTGGGCTTGCTGGAGCAGTTCAGCTGTGCTGCTGTGCCACTCCTCCCCCGGGACCAGAGGATTGCTCGGACATCTATCAGTGACAGCAGAAGGACAAACAGGCAAGAGATAACACAGGAGGTCTCTTTGGGCCTAGGCTAGGAACAGGAAGCAAGGCATATGGCTAAGTCCCAGGTCGGTGGAGCTAAGCAGCTCACTTCTATACAATGAGGGGAGACAGGTATCTGAGCAACAATCCAGACCAGGCATAGTGGCCCAGGCCTGTAATCCCAGCACTTTGGGAGGCCAAAGGATTGCTTGAGCTCAAGAGTTCAAGACCAGCCTGGGCAAAATGGTGAAACCCTGTCTTTACAAAAAGAAAACAGCTGGGCATGGTGGCATGCACCTGCAGTCCCAGCTACTCAGGAGGCTGAGGTAGGAGCATCACCTGAGCCCAAGGAGGTGGAGGCTACAGTGAGCTGTGATGGCACGACTGCACTCTAACCTGGGCAACAGGGTGAGACCCTGTCTCAAAACAAACAAACAAAATCCAACCTACCACATCCTCAATCCAACTTTTATAACAGTAAGACCAACATTGCACCCTCCATCTGTCTGCTGAGTCTGTATTTTAGATGGTTCTAAACCCAGAAGAAGTTAGCCCGGTGTAGTGGTATGTGCCTGTAGTCCCAGCTACTGGGGAGGCTGAGGCGGGAGGATTGCTTGAGCCCAGGAGTTCACGGCTGCAGTGATTGGGCCACTGTCCTCCAGCCTGGGCAGCAGAGTAAGACCCCAGTTCTACAAAATAAAAAATAAATACACCCAGAAAAGGATAACAGTAAGGGGGTTCTTTTTTCTTCTTCTTTCTTCGATCTTCTTCTTTCTCCTTCTCCTTCTTCTTTTTTGTTTTTCCCCTTCCTCTTATCCTCCTTCTCCTTCCCCTCCTCCTCCTTCCCCTCCTCCTTCTTCTCCTTCTCCTCCTCCTCCTCCTTCTTCTGCTGCTTCTTATTCTCTTCTTGTTGTTGTTCTTATTTCTCTCTCTCTCTTTCTCATAGGAGGGAGTGATCAACTAACGGGGAAGGGATGAAAGATCAGAGTGATTTGAATAAGAAAAAATATCTGGTTGGGAGGAGGGAGGGGATCAGGAAAAATAACTGAAGGGTACTAGGCTTAATTGGGTGATTAAATAATCTGTACAACAACCCCCCATGACACAAGTTTACCTATATAACAAACCTACACTTGTACCCTTGAACTTAAAAGTCAAAAAAAGAAAAAGGATCTGATTTAGGTTTTGAAAGATTAATAGGAGTTCATCTGAGGGAACTGGAGATTTCTCATCAGAAACCATGAAAGCCACGAGTAAGTGAAATATTTTTAAAGTGTTGAAAGAAAAGAACTGTCAACCCAGAACTTGTTATTCATGAAAATATCCTTGGTAAAGTAGACACTGTAAGATAAATGGACATTCTCTGATAAAGGAAAATTATGAGGGCTCATTGCCCATAGACCTGCCCTAAAAGGCAGAGGGAAGGGATCCCAGAAGGAAACATGGAGCATCAGGACTGGAGGAAGAGCAGCAGAAGTGGTAAGTGTTTGCATGAATACAGTAGACTACTCCTACCTCTTG